AAAAAAAAAAAAAAAAAAAACACTAATTTTGATTTTTATGTGGGATAATAAATTAAATAAACTAAAGGGTACAAAAAGAAAGGGAAAAAAATTACCAATTATGAAAGGCAAAGTCCTGAAACCACCCTTCTTCTCATCAAGAACTTCAAAATCCTCAGAGAGAGGCTTTTCAAGCAACTCTTTTCTCTCATCTCTGTAATTCTCCATTGGACCTTTTATTTTCTCCAAGCTTATTTTGGTGACCAAGTTTTTGTGTTCTTATAGAAATGATTAGAATCTTCTCATCTTTTCATTTTTATTTTTATTTTTTTGGTGTAAAATGAATTGTTGATTGACAAATGGGCAGCTATAGAGGTCGTTTTAGATCAACATCACAAATCAATTAAGACCCATTAAAATCAACGAGTTGGCTCAAGTGACAAGTAGTTTGATGTTGCTTAAGCAAAATCTTGGGCTCGGAGTCTTTGTGGATACAGAAAATTCTTGTTAGAAAACTCACCCACTACTGCGAGATGTGCGATCTCGACCTACCAACGGATTAGTCGGGCATAACTCTTAATACCGTGACTGACTACCAAAAAAAATAAGACCCATTAAAGAATAGTATATAGAGTAGTTCATTGGTTCCTCGGTATGATTAAATATACTTAAATATTTGAAATCTAAAACTTAGCACATAATTAAGGAGAAAAAAATCCTCAATCCTGATTGACAAAAAATAAAAATCAGTGGACTTAACTGTTATTTTCTTATCTTACAAGTACAACTGTGCAAGTAATAATTCATGTACGAGACTTTGGCATCTTTCACACACCTATAATTAAGGATTTGTTGGTAAGGGAGTGGAGAATTAAGATTCAACATATTCATCGCGAAGTGAACTTTGCGGCGGATTACCTTGTTTCTATGGCATCGACCATGCCGGGCGGACTTCATATCCTTGACGACCCTCCCACGGGGTGAAACCGTGGCTCGAACATAATGTTCTAAGGATTGCTCATCCTCGTAATATTGTAGTCTAAAGCTTTCGCCTCCTTCTTTATACCGAAAAAAAAAAAAAAAGGATTTGTCGGAGATAATCAACAAAATGTAAAACTTTTGTCACGCTGAGGATATTCAATATTATGGGTGTTGGTAATATGAATATGATTTATATATTTTTCTTTTACATTGTTAGATAGATACTAAAATATCATTAGAAGGCCAATAAAGATTTTTCTAATAAAAAAAAAAAAATAAGGGATGTACGAACGATTGTTTTTCCAACATATCAATCTTGGATTGCGAAAAAAATTGATCTTACTCTATGAGTATTGATTGTCTCCACAAAATATTAGCAATTAATTTGTGAGAAATGCTGCAGGTAGATATAGGCTTTGCCAAACGACGGACCCGGTCTGTCAGGTCCGCGGGCCTCAATTTGATGGTATGTAGCCGCCCCGACCATTTTTATGGGCCGGTTCACTAAACCGACCCTGAACCCCCGGGTCACCGACCGACCTGTCGTTTTTAGGCCGGTTTAGACCCGGTCCAGCCCATACAAAAATGTCAACAGAAACATTAAACTTTGACCATCTTATCTTGATCGTAAAAATGTCATTCATCTATTTAGGTTTATAATTTTCCAATATAAATGAGATAATAATGTGCTAGCTAGTATCCTCACTAAAATCCCAAAAGGGCCAAAATAGATAAAGCATGGATTATAGATATGAGTTAATTGAAAATAATAATAATAATAATGATAATACTACTTCTGATCAAGCAATATATGTTCATTGGTGTTATTATTTCATTTAGATGACGTCATATTGCATTAGACTAGACATGACTTTCAACTGGGTTTGATTTATGGTCCAGTTTCACGGGTTATGGGCCTCTTTTTAAGGCCTCCACTAGCCCAACAGTGTTTTTGGCCTGTTTTCACTGATTATTTTGAATCCAATTATAATTTTTTCCATATTTTATTACCTATATTTGTGCTTTGCATTTAAATGGTGAAACAATTCCTCTGAAATAAAGTGAATTGAATAGGAATATTGTGTTACCTTTTCTGCCTTTGATACATACAGCCTTTTACCTGCAAAATTGATTCAATTGCACCCTATCAAACGCCATTGTTTACAGCAAAAATATTTGGAAACTAGTAATTAAATATAATAAATACGGACTATTAAGATTATTTCCTTTTTTTGGTTCTTGTTATGGAAGTTCAATAAATTCCATCAATAGGATGAAAATATTATCAATTTTGAAAAAGAGTAGAAAATTGAATTTCACAAAAATAAAAAAAAAATTAAAAAAAAAAAAATTGTGGAACAAGTCTAATAATTAGGTAAATTATTCTATGTAAATAAAAGTAATATACTCATATGAATCAAAATTAATGTCATATTTCTGAATATGTTATTTCATAAAATATGATCTTTCTTTTTTAATGAAAAATACACATTCCTAAAAAAAGTACATTGGTCTAATGGTCAGACCAACCTACTTGCAAGAGGTAAATTTATTTAATGGATTTAATTAAAAATTGATGAAAATAATTCTATGACCAATTAGAATCTTAAACCTGTAGGGCATGCATGCCCTCGTGTTTTCAAGTACACTTGTAAGAAATATGGCTTGCCACGTATTGCATGGCTTTCACTAGTTGACTACTCATCATATTAACAGATAATTTGTACTCTCGATTTTTATCTCGGCCAAGGTAC